AAACTAGAGGCATAGCTTTAAGATGTGAGGGGAAAGATTTAAAAGGGCCTAAGGGGCAACCTTTTTACGCAGAGGGTGGTGGGAGTTTGGGATGAACTACCAGAGGAAGTAGGAGAGACTGGTACAATTACAACATTTAAAAGGCATCAAGATACATGGGGTACATGAACAGGAAGGGTTTAGAAGGACATGGGCCAAATGCTGGCAAATGGGATTAGATCAATTTGGAATACATGGTCGGCATGGAAGCGTTGGACCGAAGGGTCTGTTTCCATGCTGTACAGATCTCTGACCCTATGAATGAGATGTGGAAACATTTCTTCACCTGAAGGGCAAAAAACGCTTGGAATTGTCTCCCACAGATGGCTATGGAAGTCAGTGAATATATCTAAGGAAGTGAATGACAAATTTTTAGATATTAAAGGCATAGAGGGATATGGAAAGATAACAGAAATATGGTATCGAAAAAAGGATCAAACAAGATCATGTTGCACAGTGTAGCAGACTCAACAGCCAAACGCCCTACACTTGCTCCTAGTTTCTATTTGACAATATAAAACAAAGGATACAATTCTAAAGGAGCAAGGACGATAGAACTGAGTATATGTGTGCAGTATCAATAGGGACAACAAATGTAAAAGCAAAGAAGATATGATCACCCTGTACAAAGCACACTGGTTTGACCTCTCGTGCAGCACAGCTGCCAGTTCTAGCCACTTCACTTTAGGAAGAATATGAAGCATTAGAAAGCATGCAGAAAAGGTTCACGAAGATGATTCCAACAATGAGGTACTTCAGTTACATAGAGAGGGGCTGGAGAAGTTGGGACTATTCTCCTTGTAGGAGGTTCAAAGGAGATTTGATGAAGCTATTCAAAATGATGAGGGATTTGGACAGAATGGATAGAGAGAAACTACAAAATTGGTGAAAATATTGGTGAAAGAAACAAGAGGGCATGGTTACACTTTTACATGTAGTGAGGATTTTATCATGTATGCACTGCCTGAGTATGTCGTGGATGCGGGATCAACCAAAGCTCTCAAAAGGAAATTGGTTAATTATCTGAGGAGGAAAAATTTGTAAGGCTACGAAGAAAAGGCAAGGAAGTGGCACTACATAAATTGCTCCTTCAGTGGACCAGCAAGACATGATGGGTCAACTATAGTCTTCTGTGTTGCAACTATTTCTGTAATTCTATGATTATAGCCTATACTTCTGCTTTTCAATATAAAGCCAGAGTTATTCCAATTTAAAATACAAGATTGAAATATTTTTCTAAATTGTCAATTTTAAAATTGTGTTATATTGCAACAATTGTACGGAACATTGTGAGCAGTTTTGGTCTCTTTACCTGAGGAAGGATGTTCTGGCTATGGAGGGAGTGCAATGAAGCTTTACCAGACTGATTCTTGGAATGGCAGGACTGACATATGAAGAGACACTGGATCAGTCAGAACCATATTCACCAGAGTTTAGAAGAATAAGGGAAAATCTCAGAAAAACCTACAAAATTCTGACAGAACTAAGAGGGTAAATGCAGGAAGGATGCTTCCGATGACCAGGGAGCCCAGAACCAGGAGTCACAATTTAAAGATACGAGGTAGATCATTTAGATTGGGATAAAGGAGAAATTTCTTCACCCATAAAGTAGTAAACCTATGGAACTTTCTGCCACAGAAAGCACTTGAGACTAAATCATTTAATGTTTTCAGTAAGTAGAGCTAAGGATATGGGGGCGGGGGGGAGCGGGGAAGGCAGGAAGAGGGTACTGATGCTCAGTCATGATTATACTGAATGGCAGAGCAGGCTCAAAGGAATGAATGGCCTTCTCCTGCCTGTAAGTTTCTATGTTTATTATGATACCTGAAGAAGATAGGTCTATTCCACTCAAATGGAAACTTCAGTAGTGATAGGTAATGGCTGAGTGAGGACAGCAATAAATACAGTCAAATGGGGATAAAATGATAAAAAGGCAAGATTAAATGTTCTTTATTTGAATGCATACAGTATCAGAACAAAATAAATGAATTAATAGCACAAATATAGGTTATTGGGTATGATCTAATAGTCATTATGGAATCTTGGTTACAAAAAGACCAAGTCTAGGAACTAAATATTCAAGGGTATATGACTTTTGAAAAGGACAGGAAAGAAGGGATAGCAGGGTAGCATTGTTAGTGTGGGATATAATAAGTATGAGAGCAAGGAATGATCTTGGATTGGAGATGTAGAATGTGTATGGTGGAGTTAAGAAATATAAAGGGAAAGAGATAAAGGAGTAGTTTATCTGCACCTTAACAGTAGCTAAGTGGTGGGATAGGGAATAAATCAGAAGATTATGTAAAAAGGCAGTATATTAATCATGGGTGATTTTAATCTTCATGTCGATTGGGACAGTCAGATTGGAAGAGTTGCCACAGGGAAGAATTCAGAGAGTGTATGTGGAGCAGTTTCCTAGAACAACATGCTGTGGATCCAACCAGGGTTCAGGTTATTTTGGATCTGGTGATGTGTAATGAGGCAGCTTTAATAAATGATACCAAAGTAAAAGATCCCTTAGGAAACAATGACCATAACATGTAGAATTTAGCATTCAAATTTGGAGGGAAGAACGTGGGTCAGGAGCAACTGTACTAAGTTTAAATTAAGGCAATTACAAAGGAATGAAGGCAGACATAGCTGGAGTAGACAGGGAAAGTAGTTTAACAGCAAAGATGGTTGAGAAGCAATGGCAGACATTGGACCAAATGGCAGAGGAGGCTCAAAGGGCCAAATTGCCTACAGCTCCTCCTATTTTCTATGTTTCTATGTTTAAGAAATAGTTCATGGCTTACTGCAAAGATGCATCCCAATCAGGAAAAAGGATTCTAGGAAGGGGATAAGTCAACCATGGTTAAGGATAACACCAATTTGGCAGATTAGTGGTATGACAGAAGATTGGTACAGCTTTAAAAACCAACAAAAGGCATCCAAAGAAAGGGAGAAGATAAAGTTTTGGGGTAAAATTGAAAGTAATATCAAGATGTATAGAAAGAGCTTCTTTAGATCTATAAGAAGGAGAGAAGCCAAAGTGCACATGGATGCCTTGGAGAATGAGGCTGGGAAATAATATTGGGGAATCAGGAAATGGCAAAGGAGTTGAATGGGTAATTTGTATCAGTTTTCACAGCTGAAGATACTAGTGACATTGCAAAATTACTAAATAATCAAGGGGCACATTGAGGAGATAAATAAATACAATAACTAGCATCAGAAAAAAAGTGCTAGGAAAACTAATGGGGTTAAAGACCAATGAGTCCCCTGGAGCTGATGGGCTACATTTTAGGATATAAAAAGATGTAGCTACAGAGATAGTGGATGCACTGATAGCAATCTTCTAAGAATTCCAATATTCTGGAAAAGTTCCAGATGATTGGAAAACTGCCAATGTAATACCTTTATTTAGAAAGGAAAGGAGACAAGGAATGTTAACTATTGGCAAGTTAGCTTCACATCTGGTAGTAGGAAAATATTGGAGACTATTACGACGGATGTGTTAGCACAGCATTTAGAAATACTTAACATTAGCAAGTAGAGTCAGAATGGCTTCATAGAGGGGAAATCATGCATGACAAATTTACTAGAATTCTTTTGAGGAAGTAACAAACAGGATAGAGGAGAAGCAGTGGTTCTAATATGTTCAGTTTTCGAGAAAGCGTTCGGTGCAGTACCACATGCTAGGCTACTTAATAAGATAACAGTCCATCATTTTGAAAGTAGTATATTAGCATGGACAGAGGATTAACTAACTAGTTAGAAGACAGAAAGCCTTCTAGCATTTTCTGGATAGCAGTCCACAGGTAGTGGAGTGTCCCAGAGATCAGTGTTGAAGACACAATTATTATGATTAAATATAATAATATAGATATAATGACTTAGATGAGGAAAGTGAATGTGCAAGTCACCAAATTTGCAGGTGACACAAAAACAGGTGGAAAGGCAAAAGGTAAGAGTGACTCAAAAATCTACAGAGGAATACAGAGTTGCAAAAACTTTGCAAATGGATTATAATGTTGAGGAATGAGAGGATATGCATATGGCAAAAAGAATGGAGGAACTGAATATTATTTAAATGGAGAAAGACCATATAAATCCACTGACAGAGGGGATTTGGAAGTCCTCATGCATGAATCACAAAAAACTTGCATCCAAGTTCAGCAGGTAATAAGGGAGGCAAATAGAATTTAGACTTTTATTTCAAAGGGAATGGCATATAAAAGTTGGGAGGTTTTGCTACAGCTATACAAGGCACGAGTCAGACCACAGCTGGAATACTGTGAACAGTTTTGGGCCCTTATCTCAAGAAAGATATACTGGCATTGGATGCAATCTAAACGAGGTTCACTAGGTTGAGCCTGGGTAAAGACGGACTGTCTTAAGAAGAGATGTTGATAGGTTTGGCCTGTACACACAAAAATTTAGAAGAATGCAAGGCAACCTTATTGTAACAAACAAGATTTTTAAGAGGACTTGATAGGGCATATGTGGAAAGGTTGTTTCCCTTTGAGGGATAATCTAAAACCAGGAGGCATAATCTCAGATTAAGGAGCTACCCATTTAAGACAGAGATGAGGAAGCATTTCCTCTTTCAGGGGGTAGTGAATGTGTGGAATTCTTTACTGCTGAGGGCTATCGAGTCTGGGTCATTAAGCATACTTCAGGTCAAGTTAGATAGATTTTTAATCATTAAGGGAATCAAAGGTTATGGGGAAAAAGCAGGAAAATGGAGTTGAGGATTTTCAGATCAGCCATGATCTCATTGAATGGCTGAGCAGACTCCATGAGTTGATGGCCTACCTGCTCCTACATCTTAAATAGAATATCCTTTATCAGTCTTAACTCCAAATACTCCAATAATTCATGTTGTTATTCATAATTCATTACTTGACTCTATTGATTCAAAACTGTAGTCCAGATGGACAAGCAAAAATCGGTAAAAGAAATCCAAGTTTGTAACTCACCTCTCGAGTTAATACAGCAATAAAACATCCATTGACTTGTTCTGATGGTTCAATCTTGAAGAATTTATCAGATGCGCAGGTTATTTCTGATGGACAACATAAGGGAATAACAGGAGCACTTAGCCTGTGGAAAACAAAAATAAGACGCTTGAACCTTGTTCTAAGTTATAACATTTTGGCATATGGTGACGTTCATAAAATACATGCACGTTAAATCATTGATTGGAAAGAAAGAAAAAGGCAGGAAAATTCACTGAATAGATATATATGTAATATCAATAAAACGGATCCCCAATCCTGTGAAACGCTACGTAACATAAACCAACCATGTTAGCTCCACATGCAGCTTCAGTAAACATTGACAATTTAAAATCTATAGATTTTAAGAAGATTTCCAGCAGGCAGATTCAATACATATTTTATACATTTATATGACTTAAGTTATTGTAGCCAGTGCATTCACTTTATATGCCACCCATGAAAACATGATTTAGGAAATGTGACAATCTGGGAAAGATTCTACTTCAACATTTTTTTTGAAGTTTTGCTAACTATTATTCTCCTCACTCCGAATACCCATTTATCCTGCAGTGGAAGTGACAGATAGCAAGCTATTAACAGACATTGCAGCTTCCTAACTGAGGCAATCCTCTGCTTAGTGGGTTTTCCATTGATGGGTTTAGTAGTCATGGATGAAGGGCACAATGCTGACCTTCTCAGAGTCCTCCACCAATTGCTTATTTCCTTACAGAACTGCAAACCACAGTGGACTATCACAGATTGAAGTCTACTTTCCTGAACAGTAGTACTTGAGGTACGTAATGAAGTTTAGGGATCAGATACCAGCTGAAATTAATTGAAAATAAATCCTTACAGTTCACACCGAATACAGTGGTAGACTCCCTACCTCTGGGCCAAAAAGCCTAGTTAGTATCAAGTCATACCTGCCTCAGAGGTGCATCATAACATGTCTGAACAGATTGATTCATATATCAGAAAAATACAGTTCAGCCAGGAAGAGGCCCTTGTAGTACAGTGGTGGTGTTCCTACTCTGAGCCAGGAGACACTGTTCAAATCTGACCTACTCCAAAGGTGCGTAATAACATCTCTAAACAGATTGATCAAAATATATCTATAGTTCATCCAGAAAGGGGCTCTTGTATCACACTGATAGAGCCCTTATCTCTAATACAGAAGACTGAGGTTCAAGTCCCACCAACACCAGAGGTATGTGGTAACATCTCTGAATGGGTTGGTTATAAAATGTCTACAGTTAATGCAGATATAGATGGCTGGTCAGATGGGCTGATCGGGGTAAAAGGAATTCAATCCAGATAAGTGTGAGGTGATGCACTTGAGCAGGACAAACAAGGCAGGGGAATACATGATGAACAGAAGGATGTTGGGAAGCACGGAGGATCAGCGGGTCCATGGGGTTCAAGTAAATCAGATCCTTAAGATATCAGGGGAGGTGCAGAAAGTGGTTAAGGCGGCATATGGTATTCTTGCCATTATTAGCCAAGGCAGACCGTTTAAGAAGGAGGGAGGTTATGCTCTCAATGTATAAAATGTTGTTTAGTCCCCAGCTAAAGCACTGTGTGAATCCACATTATAGGAGGGATGTGATAGCAGTGAAGATGATGTTCCAGATTTCCACCATCCTCTAGGTGAAAGTTTTTCCTCATACCTCCTCTAAACCTTCTACCCCTTACCTTTAAATCTATGTCCCCCAGCCATTGATCCATCCATCAAGGGGAAAAGTTTCTACCTCTCTACCCTATCTATGCCCCCCATAATTGTATTCATTTCAATCATGTCCCCTCTCAGTCTCCTCCGCTCTGAGGAAAACAACCCGAGTCTGCCTAATCTCTCTTCATAACTGAAACTCTCCAGCCCAGGTAACATCTTGGTAATTCACCTCTGCATCTTCTCCAGCGCTATCACATGCCTCCTATAACATGGATTCTAGAACTGCACACATTACTCTAGCTATGGCTTAACCAACATTTTATAAAGTTCTAGCGTAACCTCCCTGCTCTTAAACACTATGCCTCAGCAAATAAAGGCGCCTATGTACCTTAAGCACTTTATCAAACTGTTCTGCTACCTGCATACCATGTACATCAAGGTCCCTCTCATTTTCAGTGCTTCCCAGGATCCTAATATTTATCATGTATTCCCTTGCCTTGTTTGTCCCGTTCAAGTGCATCAACTCACACCTATCCGGATTAAATTCTATTTGCCACTGATCAGCCCATCTGACCAGCTTATCTACATTCTTCTGTGATCTAAGGCTGTCCTGCTCACTGTTTACCACCCTTCCAATTTTCATATTGTGTATGTTTCAATAAAGTTGCCAGCCATTCTTCTAAATTCCAACAAGTACAGGACCAATCTACTCGACCTCTCCTCATGAGACAATCCCTCCATACATGGTATCAGTCTAGTGAACCTTCCTTGGACTGCCTCCAATGCCAATATATCTTTGTTTAGAAAAGGGGGCCAAAACTGTTCACATTCCCTTTGAAACGAAACCCAACATTTCATTGGCCTTCCCTATTACCTACCGAACCTGAATGCTAGCTTTCTGTGAATCATGCATGGGGTCTCCCACATCCCTCTGCTCATAAATTTCTGCTGTGATTCTCCATTTAAACAGTATTCAGTTCCCTATTCTTCCTGCCAAAATGTATAACCCAAATTATATTCCATCTGCTATGTTTTTACTACCACCCCACAGTAGATTGCCAGTCATGTCCGTGAGAGATGAAGGTCCATCTGGTTAGCTGACAATTCTAGCAGTCCAGACAGCAGTGGCTGCAGCTGGGACTGAAAAGAAAACCTGGGACACAGCCCATGGCAATTGAATCCGAGAAAGAACTGCTTTTAGGTGGGGAGGGATCAGGCACTCAAGTGAGGGGGTTGTCATGTATGTTTGGAGGCATGTGCTTTGGAGGCTGGGTAGGGAGGCAAAATGCAGGGTAACATCCTGGAAGGATGCCCTCTCAATACCCAGTACATTATGCCAATTGAGGCTGACAGAGGGCCTTAAGTGTGTAATAATTAGTCATCTGAAGGCTTCAATGGCCTAACAGCAAATTAACTAGTTGACGTCTTCCTGACCCACCATAACAATGGGAAATGAATTGTGGTGGCAGGAAGGTGGTGAGTTCTCCACTCAACATATTTTAGCATATTTTTATGGCCCCTGACTGAAAACATGCCTGTTTGGAGGCATAAAATCCAACAGTACATTTGACAAGATATTTACCAAGAAACTGTGTACAATGAGCCCAAATAGATCATAGAATCCTTACAGTGTGAAGGAGGCCATTCGGCACATCCAGTCCACACCACCCCTCCAAAGAGCACACCACCCTCTATCCCCTGAACCCTGCATTTCCTATGGCTAATCCACCTAACTTACACATCTTTGGACTGTGGGAGGAAACTGGAGCACCTGGAGGAAACCCACGCAGACATGGTGAGAATGAGCAAACTCCACACAGTCAGTTACCCAAGGGTGGAATCGAACTCTGATCGCTAGCACTGTGAGGCAATGGTGTTAACCACAGAGCCACCATGCCACGCTCAAATAAACATCAATTATAGAAGTTGAGTACTAAAAGAAACTTGTACAATGCATATTATACATTCAGTTCATTCAATGGTTTTTGTATAATATTTTTGCTTTAATGAACAAATATTAAGTAGGGAAATTTTAAATACCATATATTCTTATGATCTTAAAACACATAAATCAATACAGAGGTAGTAGAAACTGCCAATGCTGGAGAATCTGAGATAACAAGGTGCAAAGCTGGATGAACACAGCAGGCTAGGCAGCATCAGAGGAGCAGGAAAGTTGACGTTTCGGGTCTGGACCCTTCTTCAGAAAAAAGAAGGGTCTAGACCCAAAACGTCAGCTTTCCTGCTCTTCTGATGCTGCCTGGCCTATTGTGTTCATCCAGCTTTACATCTTGTTAAATCAATACAGATTCGTTGTTCTAACATAATCTTGGATTGGCTGCAATTTTAGTTGTACAAATGTGAGTGATATTTTGTATACAATATACCTGTAAGGTTGCACTCTGGGCCCTTCTATTTTTTTTCCCAATACTGGCTTCACTATTTCCTCATTTTCTTCAGCATAAACCGAGCATGTAGAATACACAATGGCCTGGACCTTTGGAACTATCAGAAGATAAATAAGCTTAGTTTCATAAAAAGTTTATTGCAAAATAGAAAAAATAATTACCAATTTAAATATAATACAATTCAATACAGCACAGGAACATGCCCTTTGATCCATCAAGCCTACATATTGTCCATGCGTGGTTTCTATCCCTCTGTTCGCACACCCCCCGCCCCGTTAATGTGTCTATCAAGATACACCTCAAATGTTGCTAACATGCCTGCATCCACCACCTCCACTGGCAGTGCATTTCAGGCCCACCACTCTCTGGGTGAAAAATTCCTCCCTGCACTGCTCCCCTAAACTTTCCCCTTCTCACTTTGAACCTGTGCCCTCTTATAGTTGACCTGTCCACCCTGGGAAAAAGCCTGTGACTATCCACCTTATCTATGCCTCTCATAATTTTGTACACCTCTATCAGGTTGCCCTCTGCTTTTGTCTTTTCAGTGAAAACAATCCAAGTTTATGCAATCTTTCCTCATAACTAAAACCCTCCATACCAGGTAACATCTTGGTAAACCTTGTCTGCACCCTCTCCAAAACATCCATGTCCTTCTCATAGTGTTGCGACTCAAACTGCATGCAACATTTCAAATGTGGCCTGACTAAAGTTTTGTACAGGTGTAACATAACTCGCCAACTTTTATATTCGATGCACCAGCCTATGAAGACAATCATGCTGTATGCTTTCTTGACCACCTTATCCACCTGTGTTGCCACTTTCAAGGATCTGTGGACCTGTACACCCAGATCCCTCTGTATGTCAATGGTCTTAAGGGTTCTGCCATTTATTAAATAATTCACACCTGAATTTGATCTTCCAATTTGTATGGATTAAACTCCATCTGCCATTTCTCTGTCCAAGTCTGCAATCTACCTATATCCAGCTGTATCCCTTGACAATCCTCTTCATTATCTGCAACTCTGCTAATTTTGGTGTCCTGATCTCCAAGCACCCTTCCACCCCAACTCTGCCTTCTATGGCCAAGCCAGTTTTGTAACCATCTAGCCAGCTTACCACAGATCCGATGAGATTCTACCTTCTGTACCAGCCTGCCATGAGGTACCTTATCAAGTGCCTTCCTAAAGTCCATGTAGACAACATCCACTGCCCTTCCCTCATCAATCATTCTTGTCACCTCCTCAAAAAACACTTTCAAATTAGTGAGACATGACCTTCCCCAAACAAACCCATGCTGCCCATCACTAACAAGTCCATTCACTTCCAAATGTGATTAAATCCTGGATTATCTCTGTTTCCCATCTTAAACAAAGGAACAACATTGGCCATTCTCCAGAACCTTGCCTGAGGTCAAAGAGGATGCAAAGATATCTGTTAAGGCCCCAGCTATTTCCTCCCTTGCCTCCCACAGTATCCTGGGATAGATCCCATCTGGCACTAGGGACTTGTCTGCCTTAATGTGTTTCGATACTTCCTCCTTCATGATGTTGACCTGCCCAAGAGTATTTACACACCTTTTCCTAACCTCAACATCTCTCTCTTTGATGAATAGCCATGTAAAATACTCATTAAGGATCTCACCCATTTTCTGTGGCTCCACACATAACCGCCCTCCTTTATCCTTAAGTGGGCCTACTCTTTCCATAGCTATCCTCTTGCTCCTAATACATGTATAAATTGCCTGGGGATTCTCCTTAACCCTGCTGGCCAAGGACATTTCATAGCTCCTTTTAGCCCTCCTAACTCCCTATTTGAGCTCCTTCCTGCTTTCTCTATATTCTTCAAGGACTTTGTTTGTTTTTAGTTGCCTGGACCTTATGTGTGCTTCACTTTTTTTTTTGAATAAACTGATAATTTGCCCTGTCATCCAAGATTCCCAAAATCCTGCCATTCCTGTCCTTCATCTTCACAGGAACATGCCTGTCCTGCACCCTCATAAACTGGTCTTTAAAAGACATCCACATGTCAGATGTGGATTTACCCTCAAACAGCCACTCCTAATCCACATTCTCCAATTCTTACCTAATTCGGTTATAATTGGCCTTCCCTCAATATAACACCTTCATCCGAGGTCCACCCTTGCCTTATTCATAATATCCAAAAACTTACAGAATTATGGTCATTATTCCCAAAATGCTTCCCCACTGAAACTTTGATCACTTGTCCAAGCTCATTTCCCAATACCAGGTCCAGTGTGGCCCCGTCCATCATTGGACTATCCACATGCTGTTTCAAAAAACCCTCCTAGATACATCTAACAAACTGATGCCCATCCAAACCTCCAGCACTAAGGGAGTCCCAGTCAATATAGGGGAAGTTAAAATCACCCAACACAACAACTCTGTTATTTTGACATCCTTCCAGAATCTGACTACATACCTCGCTGCAAGATCCCTCCAGGGTGTCCTCCCCCAACACAGCTGATATGGTCCCTAACCAGTAAAGCAACTCCCCACCTCTTTTCCTTCCTCCTCTGTCTTATCTAAAACATCGATATCCCGGAACATTAAACTGTCAATCCTGTCCCTTTTTCAATCATGTCTCTGTGAAAGCAACAATATCATAATTGTGTGCATTAATCCAGGCTCAAAGTTCATCCCTCTTAGCTGTTAAACTTCTTGCATTGAAGTAACTACAGTCCAAGCTTCAAGTTCCACTGAGCTCAGCAACCTCCCCTTGACTGCTCTTCCTCTTATTTGCCTTAAACTCAAGCTTTTCCCCAATCTCTACACTTGCTGACCTGCTGCTCCAGTTCCCACACGCCTGCCACACTTGTTAAAATGTTCTTACATTTATTTTAATTCATATTTCATACAGAGCAAGATTTAACTTTATCCTAAGTCCACAGCCAGCCACAGATTTGTTTCTCATCATTTATGTCTGGCTCAGGACAAACAATATCCAAGACAAGAAAGGTTTCATATCAATGTGACAATAAATGCAATAAAAATTGGATAAGTGAGTAAACCCTAAAGGAATGTTTCATTTTGTTTCTTAAATACATTTGTTAATCTACCTCATAACAGGAATATAGCAACAGGAACTTGCTACGTAGCTGCAGTTATCCAAACAAGTGGACAGTATTCCACCACACTTTTTACATAGAAACATAGAAATATAGGAACAGGATTAGATCATTCAGCCCTTCGAGCCTTATCCACCATTCAATATGATTCACTCCAATTTTCTGAGTCTACGATATGAATGGATCTAAACATAATAGAATAGCCCCATTCCTGGCCCTGTAGCAAACAGGTGATCAATAAGCAGCTGAAGGTAGAAGAGATCTTGACTGAACTATTAACTCCTCATTTACCGAATATTCCAGTAGTAGTTGTTGATCCTTTGAGTTGAAGATGGCCATCTTAACTATAATCATCTGAAGTGTTTGTTGGGGTGCCAGTGAGTACATAAATGATGATGATGATTTGCCCACGTATCATATTATAGGAAGAGAGAATTGAGCACAGTTAGCCTCAATCTCTCGTCCTGATCTATCTCAGCCTAGCGGATGAGTGAAGCTCCAACAATGCTTAAGAAGCTTGACACCAATCAAGACAAAGCAGTCCACTTGACTGGCACCCCATCCACAACCTTCAACATTCACTCCCTTCACTACCAATGCACAGTAGTAGAACTTCCTTCAGTTCTGAAGAAGAGACATACTGAACTCAAAAGGTTAACTTTGTTTCTCTCTGCACAGTTGCTGCCAGACCTGCTGAGTTTCTCCAGCTTTCTGTACAAGTTCTTGATGCTATATTCCTAGGTCAGGAGTCTAAATGGTAAGGTATAAATCTGGGTGCAGTGGTTCACTCGAATATCTTTGGTGTCTTAGCAAACATGACGCATTTCACAGTGCAAAGTCATTCCACCTTCAAGCCCACTGGACTTTAGTCCAGTCTGCTAGAATCAGATTTCGCATGTCAGGGTAGGCAAATCCCTGAGCTGCTGAGGATGAGAAACCCAACAACTATCTTCACCTGGTTTCACCTGTTAAAAAAGGTTTATTAGGGTATGGTCTATGTTGCATACTAACAGCTACTTGGAGACACACATGAGAGTTGGGTGAAGGCAAGGACCAGTGAAAGCAATATAAGAGAGGTGGGGTTGCTACACTTTTTGGAGTGGTCTATCCTAATTATAGTAGAGACAGACTGATTCCCATGATAAATAAAATAATTCTCCTCCTGATGTTAAATTGAGCTTCACCAGGTCCTCTAGCATGTTTCACTTTATTGATTTTTATCTTGGTGAAAGACATGCTACTGACATCATACTTTCTTTATAACCTTCCCCTCTCCAATGCATTTTTTGATTTTTTTCCTTTAATCATTCATTGGATGAGAGCATCGCTGGCCAGGCAGCATTTATTGCCCAGATGGCAGTTAAAAATCAACCGCATTGCTGTGGGTCTGCAATCACATGTAGGCCAGAACAGGCAAGGATGGCAGTTTCCTTCCCTAAAAGTACATTAGTGAATCAGATGGATGACAATGGATTCATGCTCATCATTTGATTCTTAATTCCAGCTATTTTACTGAAGTTAAATTCCACCATCTGCCGTGGCAGGATTCGAACCTGGATCCCCAGAATATTATCTGGGTCTCTTGATTAACAGTCCAGCGATAATACCACTAAGCCATTGCCTCCCCTCCACAGGGGTTGTTTTCCTCAGAGCAGAGGAGATTTACAGGAGACATGATTCAAAAGTGCAATATAATGAGGGATATTGATAGGGTAGACTGAAAGAAACATTTCGTCTTGACGTTCACTGTTAGGGATAGTAGGAACTGCAGATGCTGGAGAATCCGAGACAACAAGGTGCAGAGCTGGATGAACACAGCAGGCCAAGCAGCATCATAGGAGCAGAAAGGCTGACGTTTCGGACCTAGCTCTGCACCTTGTTCACTGTTAGAACTGTTTTGACTAATAATGTGATTGCACTTCAAAAGTAATTTGTGTTAGGAACTTTTAAATATTTCATACAAGACATTTACATACAAGACAAATCAAAGATAAATCTCCCTTTCATTTTTA